CTGGCCCCAGATGGGCTCAGTCACCTGCTGAGTCTCCATCTGATGAGTCATTTAGATGAACTTCCTCGGGGGCTGTGTTGGTTGGGGATAAAGCTGCTGTGGGAGGCAGCCGGGGGAGTCGGTACGGACGGAGGAAAAGCGCGAAGCATAACGAGCCTCATGGGAGCTCAGTTTGTGTACATAGACCGACTCCCGCTCTCTGCCTCCCAGGAACTCTCTCTACCACTGCCAGCCAGCCAGGAGAACTGAGTGAGGGATGTCTACTTGTGCGAGTGTGTGTGTGTGTGTGTGTGGATGCTCGGATTTAGGTGTGTGTGTGTGTGTGTGTGTGTGTGGATGCATGTGTGTATTGTATAACCTCAATTATTGTTTTGGATTTCTCAACAAGAAGAAATCCACAAGAAGGGAAGACAAGAGGAGTGGAACACGTTGATGCTCAGTATTTCTTTCCAAATAATTTGTCCCAAATTACACTTGATATCCAGCCATCACCCAAAAACAGACTCACTTCTGTCACTGTGTCCAGTCGCCAGAGAAAAAAAACCCAGCAAACTAAACTTTCCGCAAAAAGGAAGTTTTATGAAGAGGCTGTTATACAGTATGTATATAGAATAACAGCCATTACAGATGTTTCTGTTCATGCACAGTTGCCGCATGGATCAATCAGTTATGTGTAAACTAAACCTTTACCCGTCACTGACGAATTTCCAGTGTCAGAATAAAATCATGAGACTTTTGCTCGATCGTTTGGTGTAAGGTCAGAGCTGCTTAAAGTCAAATCAAACGTATTTAATATAATCATACGTTTTCAGTCTTGGCTCATGGCGACATTCAGTGACAGAAAACAGGAAGCAGCGAATCGAGACGGTGGTGAGCATGGAGGAGACTCTGGGGTGGCGCAAGAAAACAAGTCGTTTGGTGTGAGGCTGGCATTAAATACATGAGGCAGGCAATGGTGATTGAGCATAGAGCATAAAATAATTTCAAAATAAAACAGGAAATCCTAAATAAAAGTCCAAGGGCCAAATCATGACAATTATAGTGTTGAGTTCCTAACTTTATGTAATAATAATAATATTAATAATAATTATGATGATTGTCATTAAAATTATCTCAAATGAATCTTGTCTCGATCCTGCAAGTCTTTACAAAATCTAATAGTGTGAGACTAAAAACTTATGACACATTGTTGAGGGAGTCAGACCTCAGTCTTTGAGGAGTTGGTTGGTATTAGACGCTACATATACAAAGACAAGAAGACCACAAGGACCTGTCACTGCACAGCAAGCCATTTTCACAACAACCCTGTTTCACAAAAATATTTAAGATTGGTCTATAGTGTTCTCAAGTCTAATACAAGTTAGACAGTACGACAAAAATCAATACGGACTCGTTTTAAGCCTAAAAAGTTAACCACCATACCCTCAGACTAACTCAGAGCTACAACCTGCTGACCAGCGCTGACACATAAGAGCAAAACATGGCTCATAATTTATGGGTTGGTAACAACGTTGTGGAGCAAGAAATGAGTTTGTAGAGACAGAGAAGCCACAGCCTCTCTCAGCTCTGCTGCAGGTCTCAGACTTTATGCTACTTTTGCTACTGTTACACTCTTTGCTGGATTTTCACAGTAAAATGACGTCGTAGCCGCTGAATTCCTCCAGAGGGCAAAAACATCATCTGCTGGAGTGAAGAGAGATGAATGGTTTTGACGTGCTTGTTCAGTGGTCAGCTGCAATTTTTCACACAGGAAGTCTATTAGTTTGACCAAAGCCACAGTCAAAGCCTATCTTTGTGAAATGCACCCCAGAATGCAATGTGGCCACGAGACAGTCAGGGTGTGTCTTTTTTTTTCCTTGATTAGAAAAACCTCTGATAATCCACAACCGAGTGCAACAGGTTCACCGTCTGGTTGAAGATATTGTAGGAAATTTACATTTAAATGAGACGTAGGGAATGAGGGAATAATCAGTTACTTACTGCAGTGTTGCCTGTATCTTCCAATGGTTGAAAAGGAAGCCAAACTTGAATAAGGGAACAAAAATAAAGCAGACGTGCGAGGAAAAAAAAAAGACTGCAGCTCTACCTGCCAGCTACAGAGGCAACTGAAAAAATGTGTTGAACAGCTAAATATGAAAAATCTGAGGGGCATCAGGGGAAAGAGAAACTAGACAATTTAAATCTGACTCTCTTACAGCCTCAGAATAAATGCTTTGCTTGTATTTATCGTTCCTTGAAGTCATTCAAAGTCAGTTTGAACTTGGGCCTTATCCGCTACTCATTTCACTCAAAGTCAGGGGGTTGTGTGAAAAAGAAGACGAACGCTTTGGGATGAAGAAGGAAGGGATCAATGAGGCCAGATCCTGTCCCACAGATGGAGCTAAAGCCGAGCTGAGGTGTGAAGCCCAGTGAGCAATCGCTTCGGAAATGAATTTTCCCCCTGAGCTTTGTTGTGTGTCAGTGGGAAGTGACAGCTCGGCTTCTGACAATCACACATGTCAGAGGGAGGCAGGGGGAAGCGTGCGTGTGCTTGTGTGTGTGTGTGTGTGTACAGTCATACAGTTTTGTAAGGGAAAAGAGAGGAAGGAAAGGAAGGAAGGAAAACACGGTTCCAGAGTTGAGATCCTGATCCTACTGGGAGTCGGTTGCCTGCAGGCATCTTAAGGGGAAGCATGCATCAATATTTCCTCATCGCCCCTGAGGCCCAGAGCGCTAACACAGACTTTAGCTGAGAAAAGCTGCAATTTCGGGGATTTATGTCAAAGCAAGGTGAGAGATACTTTGGGCAAAAAATATTAAAATACTGAGATAAAACACATGCAGGGTGAAGCTGAGACTTGGCAAATGGAAGCGACAGTTCACAGGGTTCATACTTATTCTCATCCCATCTTTCCCTTTGCCTGAGTGTCAGACTGTTGACAGGCAGATCGGCTTGAGACTGACTGACGGGGAGTGATGGTGGGGGCAGGTTAATCGCCTGTCCTGAACGTGCGGTCAGATCTAGCATGTTTTGACGCTCGACCGGTCACAGATATGACCGGCCCTCACCGCTGGCTGACCGGCTCGACTGGTGTGACAAACATGCGAGTGACACCGAGCACATACGCCAGAAGCAGCGGGATCGTCTGAGCTGTGAAACAATTGGATTATGTGGACGGGTAGCAAAAACAAAGACACACACACAGCAGGAGGCAAGTCTGACTTCACTCTGTCTGAATGTGCCTTATGTAACCACATGCACATTTAGCACATTTAGCTTTTCCTTGAGCAGGATCCTAAAACTCGCCACATAACAATCTTAATATCCAACCAAAAATAATGAGGCTTTATAATCATTTTTTAGAGTTAGCAGGAGTTTGATGCATGCTGTCAGCTTGTCTTGGAGTGTCTCTATCAGAACTTAATTTAAAGCACTACGAGAAAAGCCAACTAACTCTTGAGAGCCATATCTGATTGCTTTTTTTTTTTTTCTCCAGGCCTCCTACTCCTCTAAACACTACCACTCATTAAAATCTTGGCAGACGTTGAAGTTGCGACACTGGGAAATGTCAGTGCATCAGTCGATTCCCAGCAGCCTCTCTGAAGGCCCGTCGTCACAATCTTAGCTTGACAGCTTCAAATCGATACAGCGTCTCTCCTTTTCACCTCATTTAGTCTCGGATGACCTGCAGCAGGTTGGGGTGGGGTGGGGTGGGGTGCCCTGACTATCACCTCTGAAGGACATGAACTTATTCACGACTTTCTGTTTGAGGCTATTTGTTTTTTCATTATTCGTTTACTGCTCAAACCTATGATGAGCAAACTAGACATGACTTGTGCAGAGCAGTTACTGTTACAAGTTTATATTTTTCCTCATCTCCAACTTCTTCTCCTAACACTATATGAATAAAGGCTGACATAAACTTAAATGTATGAGGGTTAGTGTGGTCTGCAGAGGTCCGCAGGAGTGGAATGAGCTTCAACACAATGTTTGTTTGTTTTTTAAAAAGAACTTAAAGCAGCAGTTGCTCCTAAAATATGTTTATTACTTGTTTTTCCTGAAAGGCTGGTTAGTCTACTGTGCTATTATTTTCATTTATCTTTCATTTCTGATTGTGTCGCTTGCCTATTGGATTAATGTTTGAACTGATGTTTTGGGACCATTCAGTTTTTTCACCCATTGCAATTATCATGTTGTGTATGCTTTTACAGAAATAAATGAGATTATGACACCTGGGTATTAACCCCTGTTCACTTTATGATTGATTCCTTTTATACAGAGTATGATATATATATATATATATATATATATATATTCATATAATCCTCTATGCGCAGTGTAGGAAGAAAGTTTTCACACTGTGGCGATATTTGCAAATTAATAATATGAACTAAACCCGACAACATTTATGTAGTTCATTACAAAGAAACAACATGTTTAGATCTGGATAACTGTTTCGCTCTATTAGCGGAACTAATGTACCAGTTTGTTCTGATTACTTCTGCCTGTTTGCATGCTAAGTTGCTACCCAGGTAGCTGTCACAAAGGTGAATGCTTTAGCGAGCATTACGTCAACTCCATTCAATTGGCTCTAAGAGGATGTGCCTGCAGTTTCTGCTTGATAAGGCTGATACGTTTTCAACCTTCCTGCCACTCTCACCGCGGCGTACCGCTTTTCTCACGCACACGCATCACTGGCTGCATAGCACAGTCTGGTGGGTTTGCCCTTGCAAACATCCACTTGGCTGTGGCTGAAAGTGATTGACAACCAGCAGAGTTACTGAAGCTTGTAGCGTTGAACCCCCGTTGCAACGTGCACTGAGGAGGAACATCAGCTGAACGCCAAAAGTGAAAACTGGAAATGTGATGCAGCGAATTTGAATATCTAACAATGTGCTTTCATCCACTCAATGTGTCCTTGGGAAAACCGCTGCTGGACCTGGGTGTGGCCCACACAGAAACACACACACGCACACACACACACACACAGGACTGTATGATTGGCAGACTCCATCCTTACCTGTCTATGTCGCCCTGCATCTCTTTGCTCCCTCTCTGGGATATTTCACGTGAAGACGCCGTGTCTGAAGCTCGGCCCGTGTTCCGTGCATACAGATGGAGACCGCCGTCTGTAAGGTATCTGTGAGAGGAAAATTAATTAGAGCAAGTAGATGTCCGACCTCAGTTTGGCACAAAGGAGTTATTCAATATTTTTTTTAATAATGGAAAGCAACAAATGATTTCAACTAAACTAGAGAGAAGACTGACTTGTTTGATTGAGGGAGAATCTGATTTATGAACATTGTTTTGTGAACTCACCAAAAAAAAAAAAAAAAAAAAAAAAGTCACTTTGAGTTTGTGCATCTGTGGATGTGTATGTGGCAGTGAGGAAGTGGTAGGAGTTGGAGGCTGCAGCCAGATAGCTATCAGACACGGCTGATAGGACACGGGAATCATTAGTGTTGAGCTAATTAAGCTAATAATTCAGCTAATCACCTTTCCCTCCCGACGTGTTGTTACAATTTCTGTTCTGACACGTCTTTAATCCTGCGGATGCTTTGCTCCATCACTCTCGCTTAACTGTCCCTCGCGGTATTCCCTGCCCCCGCCCCGCCCGCCACCCCCGCGCGCCACCCCCACGCCACCAAAAAAACCTCTTAAGTGCATGGATGCCAACTGGGAGTGTGTGTTTGTTTAGTGTGTGTGTGCGCGTGTTGAAGGCGAAATTACTCTTATTGGAACTGAGTGAATGAAGGACAAAAGATGTTTTGTGGAAGAAACAGACTTATCTTTCTTCATTCAGGTAATCTGTCAGTGGCCCTCAAGGTTCATGTAAATGCATTATGCGAACCTTTCCTCTCAAGCCGTGGTAAACCGATGATAGCCTTGGTGGATGTCAGCAGGCTATTTGTATTGATGCACGGAGACAAATTGGCGAGGCCTTGGCAGCTGTGTGAATACCCAGCTAACCATGAACAGAAAATGTGTCAGTTGAAGTTTCAAATAACAAAAGGCCTTTAAAGTGGCATTTTTGTGTGTAAAAATGATGTAGAAGGCCAGCCTGTAAATTAAAGCTGACATCCTATGTTTTAGACATCAAAGCAAAGTTATGGGATTAATATACACTAACATAGTGGCCCTAAAAAAAAATGTCATCAGCATGAGTTGTGGGTTAAATGTTAAATGTAATGTAATTGTGTTCGATGAATAGAAAGGCAAAGAAACATGCACACAGGAAGTCCTGTTATGATAGATGTTATCATGAATACCCTAACCTCAACCAAATCAAATCATTTTAATCTCTCTAAAGCTAATGCTAACGCTAGTTTTAATCAAGTTTCAGGCAGCGTGCAAAGCTAAAAGATCCATATAACAAATGAAACTGGTCGGTACATTTTGTGGTGTGATCTGAGAATACAAGATACAGTCTATTGCGTTGCAGAGTTCATGACCAGTTCACAGAATTTGACTGGTGACGGAAGTATCAACAAAATGCCTCGCCTATTTCTAAAACACTAGTTTGGAAAATGCAATGACTCAAACTGATGCTTCTCATTTAAAGCAATAGTTCACCAGTTTGAAAAATACATTGAGAAGAGTAGATCAATACCACTCACTAAGTAACACATTACATCTCATTTGTTTAATCCAAATAATAACTAAAAACTAAAAGTGTAAAAAAAACACAAAAAATGTTGTTTGATAGAGGTTTTGTGTTTCTTGGCCTGGAGTGACTTGAAATCTTGTCATCACCTTGAGGTTGCCTGGGAAATCAGCTTCAGGCTTCATGGCTCTTCAAATTTGCCTTTAGTTAAAAGAGCCATGATAGCGGTTTCCCCCTATTATTCATTCTTTACAAGCTGTGATAAACTAACCGGCTGCATGTGACATGAGAGTGGCATCTTTAAATTGACATAGTGAATAAGCTTAATTCCCAGAATGCTGAGTGATTGTTTTAGACAATACAGAATGTTTTATTGCTTGATATGCTGTTGAAAGTTAGTTTACATCCGTTTGTTAAGTTTGGTTTTATATGTGAATATACTTCTAATTTATATTTTCAAAAGCAGTATTGATTGTGCTGTTAAAGCAGCACCTTGGAATTAGTCAGTGTGTCAGAGGAGGCTAACATGCTCTTCCTACCCGCTGGTGAGCTCATCCATCCGGCCGTTCTTCCCTAGGATGTCCCCATCACTCATGTACCCTGCCACCTCCATCTGCTTCCCTCCTTCCAGCCCTCCTCCTCCTCCTCCCTTCTCCCCCTGCTCCGCCCCCCTCGCCCCTGCTGCCGCTCGCCTCAGGGGGGCACTGTACACAAACCTGGTGGGGTCCGAATGCCCACTGTAGCGCCCTGTGGTGGTGCCGGCGCTTGTCGAGCTCGCCCTGGGCGCAGCATAGCTGCTGGGCATTGAGGGGGCATCGCCTGCCTGGAGACGCGGGGTTTGTGTCGGGCCCAGACGCCAGGCCATGGGGGAGGAGCGTGCGGTGAGGGCTGGGAGACTCCGCCCATTGACCTCAGTGGTTACTGTGGTGTCAAAGGTTGTTTCTAGCGTACTGTGGAGACACGGGAAAGAAAAACAGAATAAGGGAATTAATTCTGACTCTTGACATGAAACAAATGACAGTTGCAAACCATTAAAGGCTCAGTACAGAGGGTCGTTAGTAAAGTGCCTCAAATAGACCAAATGCACAAATTTAGGACACTGAAGTCATCGTATCAAGCGCACTCCTGTGCGAAGGGCAAATCATCCAGGTGAAAAGATCAGTCATATTTTCAGAAGAGAGCTGCCACTCCCTTCAAATCACACACTGGTTCCTCTAACTTTACTTTATGTGTGCGTGTGTGTGTGTGTGTGCGTGTCAGTGTGTGTGTGTGTGTGACCTTCCTAAAGTGCTGTTTCTTCCACTGTGTTGACTTGAAGGGGGAGAGGAGAAGAGAGTGAAGGCTCCCATGAGAACCTATGTCAGACCATCGCGGTACATCACATAGAAACAGAGGGAGGGAGGAGACAGCTATGTTTCCATACAACTATCAAGTGAGTTACACGCAAACTTTTGAAATGTCACAGGAAATAAAATCTGAATGAGATGTATTTGCATCAGCACAGGTGAAACAAATAAATAAAACTCCTGTTTATCAGAAAATGAATTAAAAAGTGGACATGCTAATGTTAAGTGTTCTTTACATTGTTACAGTATATAAGAACAAAAACTAAAATAATGGCTTCACAACAACAGCTGTTTGGTTTGACTACATTAATGGATTTCGGTGATCTCTCAGGAAATGTTAAATAAAACCTCCATTATGACTCATGTGACATCACAAACATATGTAGCCTCTGTTAAAAAGCTTTAAAGCTTCACACAGAAGCTGAATGATAAATCTTTATTGAACTGCGTCACTGGATAGATGAAAATGCATCTAGAGAGAAAGAGAGAGAAAGAGAGAGAGTGAGAGAGAGTGAGAGAGGTCTTGTGGGAAAGAGGGAGGAAAGCAAAGACGAGGAAGGAAACTTGATGGAGGGAGACAAAGGGGACTGACTCACTATCTTGACTTATCCTCCGTTAGCTAGGCAACAAACAATGAAGACATTTTTTTCTCGAATGCTGGAGAAGAATCTGAAAATGTCAACTGCAACACTTGGCTTTCATCTTACCAATCTTTTTTTTTTTTGCAAGACCAGGAAGTGAAATCCCAAATAGTGGGATCAATTCCTACGTGCTGCAGGTGAGTCAGCGACAACAACTGTAGAAATGACATACACATGACCACTCACACACCAAGCCTTGCAGCTTGATGCATGTGGACACAGAGAGCAGAGCGTGGCAGTGGTGGTACCCAGCTTGAGCTCTCTCTGCTGGGAAGAAGAGTGCACTGCATTCACATGACGAGAGACAGATATAAAACCAGACAGCTGCTCTGGCTTTTGTCCATTAGTATAAGCTTCTAATGTGCTTTCTAGTCACAAATATCCCTGTGTAAACAAAATAATGACGTGTTGCATAATATATACTAATATATTGCCATGGAAACCGGACTAACACATATAGGAAATGTGTAAATAGGATTAGGGCTTCAGATGTGCCCGCTGGTGCGGATGCTAACACAATTGTGGATTCCGTGTTGCATGTGATTTTCACAATTAAAGCATATGATGCTCATGTGCTAACACACTAAGCTGTAAATACACTTATTATTTTACTTTGAATTGTTTGGTTTTAATAAAGACTAAAACTAAAGGAGAAAGTGACGGGAGCAGATGATGCAGGTGAAATGGAGGAGCTGGATATTTGGGATGAGACACGCCTGCCGCTGTACACCAACCCTCCTCCATTAGATGACAAAAGCAATGACATCTTAAAGCAATGTCTCACAGATAGCAGTGAGAAAGGTGTGAGAGAGCAGGCTTGTATGCGTGTGTGTGTGTGTGTGAGAGAGAGAGAAAGAGAGGGCAGAACACTGCAGCCCTAAGTGCTGACATGAGAGGGGGCAGCGATGCCAGCCATATTCACAACACATCTCTATCAACACCTCCTGAGATCAACACACACACACACACACACACACACACACACACACACACACACACACACACACACACAATAAAGCCATGTTAGAGTGCAGAGGCGCCAAATGAAAAAAAAACAACTGCTTATCTGACGAGCGATCGCAGCCGAATATGGAAATGCAGAAATCAATTTGCTACAGTATAGAAATCAAAATCATTTAACCATTCAGACACAATGTAGCTTGCTAAATCAGCTTATCTTTATCTCCAGGCAGCAGAGAGAAAAAAAAAGGAGAGAGACAGATAAACTGAGAGAGACTGTGCGTGTGTGTGTGTGTGTGTAGGTGTCCAGATAAATAAGCATGGAAACCAAGAATATGGCTGAGCAGCAAGTAGAGGAAAGGTACTGAGGTATTCCATACACCTACCACAAACAGTAGGAACAGACACGAATATTACTGTTTCTCAAAATGAAGACCACATTTCCCATAAACCCTGCTGGGCTTTGAGGAGCCCTGCTTCACTAGACTATCTGGTATGAAGCCGAACCAAAACCAGAATAAATCCTAACAGAGGGAGACTGTTTAGTGTTTAGCCGAGAGCTCAGCAGGAGAGGGATCTGAATCCATGTTGACAGCAGGGAATTGTTTATTGCTGAGCAGTGCTAGATAAAAATACACTGGAACTTTCTCCTGCAGCTGCTAATGAGGTCTGAGGGTTTAACAGTTTAACATGCACTTCTTCTTGTGGAGGTTAGTTCAACAATCTTGTTAAAATGTGACTCCGATCCTGGCAAGGAACCACGTTCACTAGCAGAGAGAACTTACAGATAGCACCTTTAAGTTTTGTTATTGATCCTGTCAGTAACCATAGATCTGAGTCTCTACTGCAGAAAAAGTAGGAGCAGAGTCAGTTAAAAGTGATAACAAGAGCTTAGGTTGTATGTCAAATGAAAATGCTGTAAACCTGCAGTCTACTTTTGAAGTAACAATTTTTTTGTTCTAATAGAAATAAAAATAATAGTTTCAAGTCAGTTCTCAGTTTTATTTCATAAGATGATATTTGCTGTCCACACATAAACTCATCTTCAGACTAAGCTATTGCTGCTCATATTGCATCATATTGCCATTATTTTGGCAAATGTTGTGATTGTGATATGTGTTTCAGTTGGAATGGTCTTCTTTGCATTTCATCTTCACTTAAAAGATAAAATATAAAAATGATGATTATGACGATGTGATTTTTGTTGGGGCTTGTACCAAACAAGCATGTTCCCCTACGTCTGGAGAGCATGATTTGTAGGCCGGGTGCATCTCTATGGCACCACAACGCTTCATTTATGGTCTGTTGTCACACATTTTACCTTTGTTGAAAAATTGCAGTCTCTTCTGTCCTTCATTAAAGATTATATTCTATTTGTGTTGGTTANCCTCTGCGCTTCGTATATTGCACTTGGCCATGTTGTGATTTTGATAATATTTCGATTAATTGTTCAGCCCCACACTCAATAGTTTACTCTGCAGTAAGCATTACATTGATATTTCAATGAACAGTTTGTGTCATTACTGACAGGAACAGTGTTGCATGACACATTCATAAAAAGTACTTTTGCTACTTTTGGGATTGTAAGCAAAAGTATAAACTGCATCATGTAATGCACTGTATTAACTGTCCTTCATTAAAGATTATATTCTATTTGTGTTGGTTAATATATGACACGTGGAATCATCATTAACATAAACCTTGCATCTTGGACAGCATCTTTGAAACTACAAAAAGTTTACTCAATGTATTTAATGTGGACCTATTCATTGATTTGGCATGTCATGCAGTTTATCATTTTGTTATTGGGCTATTGTATCTATTCAACTAGCCTTGAGTTAGCAGCTGTAGCTAGCGGTCTGATTTTATCACCTGGATTTATGTTAAAAACTGAAGCTACATTAGAATCAAACACAGATTAAAAAAAAACACTTAAAAACTCCACAGACAGAAGTGGATGTATGTTATCATGTAAGTCATTAAGAGGTGGCTTACAGGTCGTCACTGGGTATTTCACAACACGAATGTTTTCCAGCCTCATTGTAGAACTTATATCCACTTCCACTTTGTAACTCAAACAAACAAACACTTGGTGGATTACACAGTCATTGCTCTCTGGCCTTTGAGGATGAAGACGCTGGCATGTATCTAACATTTCCATGGAGAGCTGCTTCCTTGTTCTGTGTGCACATGTCTCTGTGTGTGTATCTGTGTATACATTCTGTACACATGCTTGTGTATGTACAGTAGGATTGAGGCTGACATTGCTACTGGCAGAGGGTAAAACCCGAGTAGTTTGAGAGATATTCAGAGAAATCGCTCACTGCCATCACAGCACTGATCTTCAATCTGGACCCTGAGAAGAGCCCCCCCCCCCCCAAACACAACCATGTTTCACACACAAGAACAGCTCAGTCACTTTCCATCTCCCATCATAGACTGAAAACTCATCTTGTCAAGAAGTGCCTCATATTACCTTCCTGCAGCTGAATCATGCCACTTCTCCACCCGCTCTGACTGCTCTCACATTGTCAGGGATTGAAAAGTGTCTCTGGCTCTGACCCATCATTACTGTTAAGAACTGGACATTTTGGTTGTGTAGGACTTTTACTATACTCATGCAATCACTGTAAATCGCTTTGTATTGAAGCGTCAGCCACATTTAGGAATGAAAAGAAAAAAAAGAAAAGAGAAGAGTTGCCTGCCTCAGAATGCTGTACATGCACTTGAGCAGGACCAAGGGCTATCTCCTCAATTCCAAAGCAATGAATAATTTAGCCGGCCCTGTTCTCTCTGTGATCCAAATGTAAACACAAAATAAACAAATCCAACCGAGTGGAGCTATTGTGTTCAAAATGTCACCGGGCGGTTGCTGAATCCCCATGGGACTAGACTGGGATCCCCCAGGCCCAAGCAGACGGGGAGCCAGGAGCAGAGATTTCCCTCCTCTGTTTGCTGTGCCACGTTGGTCCTTTAAGATCACAGCATTTCTTCACACGTGGACCTGTTTCTTTTTCACTCCGGGAGCGAATCAATATCATTTTTCATGGTCGGGATAGAAAAAAAAAAAAAAAAAAAAAAATCCACGAGAGGGAAATTAAATGTGTTTTTCTGATCGATACAGATTGTCTGTGGAGGACCCAAACATGTCTGGGTCTCCGAGGAATGCTGTGGATGTGAAATGAGCTGCAATTATGGCTGAGGCATCAAAGTGGCAAGGTCGGTTCAATGAGAAAGGGGGATGATGGCAGGGCCTCTGAAACTGTAGCTTTACCGCACACACTGTCTGAAGAAGGGCTTTTTCAACTGGGTCGATAATTTTAGGTAACATTAGCTGCCATCAGCTTCCAGGCAGGGTGCACTCCACTGGGGACTGCTTGCACTCTCTGTCAGTTTCAAGCTGGGAGAGAGAGAGGAGCAGAGACACGTACATTTACTGATGGAAAACTAATGGTGGAAAAAACAGATACTGGGGATACTGGGGTAATATATTTAAAACTCTGTGCATCTACTGTGAGCAGAGATGTAAAAAGCTGCACTACTGTAGAAACTAACTGTAGTTACCTGCTTTATGGACAGACGGATCATTTTTCTTACTGCACTGACACATGGGGGAAAAAAAAAAACATCTCTGAATGTATTCCATGTCAGCAGGTGCAAAAAAAAAAATGCATAAAATGGCAATCCCATATGCATGTTGGAACTGGTCATTTGACTTTGAAAAAATAATCGAGATCCAGATATAAAAAAAAATGTCCAACATCTCACTGAAAATGTTACACCATGACGCTCTGTTTTAACAGCTCTGACAACATCATAAATAAGTACAACTTCAAGTTATAACTCATATAACCCTGACAGAATGTGATCCTGCTTAGAGTGACATTTGAAAATGAGAGCAGGATCATGATCAGGATGAAGTCATTGGCGACGCCTTCACGAGTTCACTGGTTCACCGAGCGGTCGTGCACTTTGGAGGTAAACTCTTCCACAGGCACCGGTGTGTACAGCCTCAGCTGCTGACATAATGACTCCTAATTGTTTTATTTGTTTCTGTGACAAAAGCAAAATCAATTGCTACGACTCAGCAACTGTATTTTTACGTTTTGACTGGCGCCATCTGACGTCTGAACGGCCACTTATCGGGGCCGCAGGGTACACACAGGTACAAAGGCAGAAGCCCACACAGGGAGCAGAGACAGAGACAGAGTGATGAATATGACAGTCATGTCTGCTCGAGCGGAACAGTGATTAATTACTTAAGGTGCTTCAAAGCTTCATGGTGATTACAGCCATTTCTTATTCCAGGGGACAGATTAGGACGGTCTGGTCGGGCTTTTGTCACGGACAGAAGTGGCATGAATACTCGGAAGCTATCGTCACATTCAGAATAGACACCGACACGGGCACACACTCGGGAGCTTACCTCTTTTTTGCATTAAATGTCATGGTTGAAAACTGTGTAGTGGCCCATACACAATCCCACCGGGGCTGCTGCAGATCTTAGACCAGTGCTTACTGCTCCAAATCACACACACAGACGCTTGTACATGATGCTTATGTGGAGGTATGATGCATTTTACACATATTTCATTCTTGTGCGTCTGATGCATGTGAATGAAAATTGTGTCTACGGACCAATCAAACACCCTCAAACCCCAACCCCGTGGGCCCCGTCGGATTAAATGCGGTAAGGCAATACCGCTGAATTGATCGTGTCTAGCTCAGATCCCTCCGAGGAAAAAAAAGAAATAGAAAACAAACACACACACACACACACACACACACACACACACACAGAGAGACTGCCATCTGTCATGGCTGTCGGCAGCCTGGCCACCATCTTCCTCAGCACATGGGGCAAAACACACAAAATAATAGACTGAGGGAGAAGGAGAGAGACGAGCAGGGGAGCGTTGCCCGGGGGGAGCTGACATAAACCAGTGGTTATCATTTCGTCTTCGCCTGAGCCGCAGTCTCTACACTGTCTGTTGTTAGATGGTCTGCGTTGCCCATGGCTCACAGATGGGACAGCCTTTTAAGGCGCCGGTTGTCCATCAACTCCTGAATGTCATCACATGTGCGCCAGCTGGTGAGGAAGGTGATGCCTGTTTTTAATTAAATCCGGGAAACGTGGAGGAGAAGGCGGCGTGGTAATAGAGGGAACATCATTAATACTCACAGACATATCTCCCCGTTGGATCAGCGTGATAAACTGTGTGGGGTGAGTGAGAGATTTCAAAATCAGAGCCGCATTTATTTGCCAAGGACGACGGATGCACAAGGAGAGCGTCTTGGACAATTGGTGCCGACTGTGATCACAAAGGAAGTGTGTGTGTTTTTTTTTTTTGGTTATTTTCAGTGGTTCAGTCGTGACATGTGTGGGTCTTCTTCTACACGTGTGGGTCTTTTGTTGTGGCTGTGACGCGTTTCTGAAGTTGAACATGTCTCAGCCTCAGACTCGGCACACATTACGTCAGTGTGAAAACACCCTTTCAGAGCAGACCTGTGCAGACTGCAGCTCTTGATAACATTATACTTGCTCTCTCATTCATGCAAGTAAAAACACTTTATCCTCTATGTTCCTAAATTCTCTTTACTCAGCCATTATCCATGTTTGCTTGTTGCTGTTGACTCTGCAATTTCGCGATCTGCAACTTTACTGTTTTGGTTCACTCAACATCATCAGTGTTGTTTCCAGATGCAGCAAACAGCTGTTTCCACTATGTGCCCAGCTCCAAAAAGCAGACAGTCGAAATTAGCAACTGGTTAACAACCAACACAGAGGTAAAAGGAAAATAAATATAGGACTTAGTTTTCCAAATGAATGCTAATGTTTCTCCATGTCTGCTGGATGTGTTTAAGTTGTTGCATCAGCCCTGTCAGTTTTAGTAGGTGATAATATGACAAAGCTGTGTTTGTGGCTTGCTGTGCTGAAGTTTTCAGGTTACACTGAATACATCATCATTAATTACACAGCTGGCGAGAGCTTCACGTGTGTGTTTCACTGACTTTCATTTACTGTATGTTCCTTATGTGTTTTAAATGAACGGTGTGATCCAAACAAAATCCAACCTTCCTAATATTCTTCTGACAGAGGAAAATGAACTACAGATGTTTAATGTCTCAGGTCAGTCAAAACTGTCAGTGTGCTTTAACGGCTTAATCTGTGGGTGTCCAAACAGAGTGTGGCAGGGATGATGTATTTTTGTAGAGCTATCCTGAAGTTGGTGTCACCCTGGTTCCCTCCACAAAAAGCCAATGGGATTTTTACACTGGCTTTTAGATTATTATTGAAAATAAAGTCTGTGACAGACAACAGTTAATGATACTTGTACGTTTTGTTCAGCAGGATAATCTTCACAGATGAACACCTCTTTATGCTTGTTGAAGCCTAAATACAATCACCACCACTACACTTCAACTTGTAATTGATTTAGCTCTGACCTCTTCTACTTAAGCCTTTCTTCTTACAAAGTTAGTAACAGTTTGTAAGAGCACAAACACAAACACAACAAGGCTGTAAAGGAGGACTGGTGAGTGGATCAGTTTTCATGTTCGCTGTGATGAAGTTTAACGTCCCCGACAAACTCTGTAGTCTCATTTAGCCACATGAATCTACATTTTTTTTTTTTTTTTACAAAAGCTTAAATAAATCAGGGCTGGAGTATTTACTGATGTATTTTATGTCGTAGAATAAAACATGAAAATGTCTTGAGCTTGTTTTAACCACAGATCTTATTTCAGTCATCTAACCAAAAACCCATTCAAAAAATCCATAGACTTCGGGACGAGGGAACAGGAAGTGGTAAAATGCAACTCATTTCCAGGTTGACTGTTATCTCAGTTAAAATACAACAGCTTAAAATCAGGCTGTGCAGTTTTAAAAATGGTTTTAAAATGTGTTTTGACTGGAGGCTCGTTATCCTGACTCCATACATAAAGTAGTACTGTGGAGGCAGATTACAACAGACTGACTGTAAGAACAAGGAACCTGTGCTTCTAAGCTATGTAGGAGTAAATCTATACGCTACTCAATTTGCATGTGCTAAAGCTGCAGCACTGACAGTGCTGTGAGGTTATGACTGGAGGGTTGGTGGATCAAATCCAGGGCTCTCTGAGATATGTGATTTGAATATATGAATGGGAAATAACCACAACCGAGAGTCATTATGAGTGAGTAAAGGGCAGTACCATTTGTGTGCCTACCTGTGGCTGATCTGTGTCCCCCGCAGACTGGACATGGTTTCTTCCAGGTTCTGCCGCAGGTCAGCGATGTTCTTCACCGTCCGCATGCGTCTCGTCTCAGGGTCTTCTCCTGGAGACACATATTTCATATGATTCACTGAGATGTTTGGAGCTACACGTAAAAAACACACAGACACCAAGCCCTCCCCCGCACCCACAGAGGCTGCACATGCACAAACACACAAAAAGAAGTGATGCGGACATCTGACATGCAGTATTTCACCGGGTGTCACTGAACGTCTCATCGGGGGGAAACAGAATGGTGACCCATCACAATGACAGCCAGCATGGGCGCACGTCCCTAAACCCCATTCAGACCATTTGGAAGCCGTACAATAAATCAGCTTGTCAGGCTGCACCACATGCACTTCTTTTACTCTAAAAAGTGGCTACATTATTTTACACAGTATTGACATTTTTTCCTTCAGGCCGGTGCAGAAATGTCGTGCCGTGGCACCACGCGCTCCGTCAGTCCGCTCAGAACGCAGTTGTGCCTGCAAAAGCAAACTCTGTCAGAGAGCCTGTGCTTCTCTGTCAGGCGCGTCGGAAACCGCTGCCTCCTCAGTCCACCGCCGTCATCCCCGCCCTGCAGCAGCTACGAGAGCACCTCATATGTTTTCTGTTCTTCTCTGTGTCCCGTTTAAACACATGAAGCGCTCGCTTCACTGAGGCATCAGGCCTATTCTGAAGGAGAGCTGCTAATATGCACAGGCTGGGCAACATTTCAGAACTGTGAGCTGTGGGCACACACCAAAGTATCTGCTTGTCTGCTCCAATTAAGCCTCTCTGTTAGCTCGTCAAGCTAGCCCATATCTGCGGGCGGAAACCGCAGAATGGGTAATTAACAAGTGGCACGAGATAGAATGGATGCCAGTCACACTGGTTAATAGTTTGAAGGTGCTTTCAGAATAAAAACGTCTCCACTGTGAAGGTGAATGAGCCGGACAAAGCAGCGTGAAGCGAAGATGAGCCTGAGAAGCTGGGCTCTGTCACTTCAATATTCTGAGCAGACGTAGCTACGGTGATTACAGTGACTGGGGCAAATGGGGGCAGACGGGAGCAGTCGTAGGTTGGAGGTCTGAAAAGGCCCCCAGTGACTCAGAGCCAGGAGGAGAAAATGGTTCAGGTGTTTTATGCATGAATAAGAAGCAGGACGGTGTGGAAGCTAAGCCTGTTTCCCTGGATGACTATATATTTGTAAAAATCAGTTTCAGAGTTGACCTTGGGGCATTTCTAACAAAAATGCACTGACTACATTTCATTTGAACAGAAACCCACAGTTTGCAGAACGGGGCTCCACATTCTACACTTCCTGCACCGCTGAAAAAAAAAATGATCCAGTTTCAACAGACTACCATGACACTGCCAGTATGTAGCTGATCTTGCACACTGACACCAGCCTTCCTCCGTTCCTGTATGCTGCGTGACAAAGCACGTTGTTGGAGTCACTCGGTTTCCCAGGTACAATAAATGACAGTGACATTGAATTTATTCAAGTCTCCTGAAAGGGAATCGCTGCTTCTGGTTGGAATGGACAAGGTTGTCATTTACCTGTTTATAATAAACCGTGGTTTGTAATTTTAAATGTTTTACATGCTGTGATTTTATTGCTTTAACACCTCGTTAAATACGAGTTTAATCAATGAATTAAAAAGCACAGGGACATCTGAACCTCGTTATCATTCACTACAGCTAGTTCAAGTGAAAAAAGGTCTGCGTCTCTTAGACTTTTGAAAACACTTTTATACTCCAATGAATAAGCCGTGAAAAGGCGTCAACATGGAAGCAGAAACATTTACCGAATGGATGAGACTCTTAGGTCTTTACTCTGACACCAATTACAGGGTTCAGCACGGTTTAAAATCGTCACAGTCCATTTGTCTAAAGACTGAACAACAACCTGAACAATACAGTATTGGTAAAAAAAAAAAACTTTCAAAATGAAGTCAAGACTCGACCTCAATTATACTGTGCGGCACCGTGCAATGACCTCGCAGGGTAAAGAGCATGCTGGTATAATTGAGGTCATGTTTTGTCTCTGCAGAGCATGCAGACTGAAGGTTGCGTGAGGCTGAGGTGGTGCCACATGATCTTAGCCTCTGACCCCAGATCACATGAGGGCACTAATTAGAAATCGATGAGGTTGCACACACTCGGAAAAGGCAGACGTGCAATCGTGGTGACAAAACTGTGTTCTCAGAAGCTTTTGTGGCCCTGAACTTTCCTACTGTCAGGACAGAGCTCATGTGAAACAATCACAAGAGAAGAAAACTCTCCTTTGAAGCCTAGAATGATGCACTGTAGACGGTTCTTCTTGCAGCTCCTTACGAAAGGGACATCCAGCTCATGAATTTAATGAGAGCTGGATCTCTTGCACCACAAACTCAAAGCATCACTGTTATTGTACTTCATCTTCTTCTGCTATTCCTCTTCTTCCTTTCTTTCTGATTCTGACTCTTCCCTGCTCCTCTCCTCTCCTCTCCTCACCGAGGCCCCTTCCAGAAAGATCCAATTACAATCCCATTATAAAGTGACATGAGGAGATCTGGCCCCGGAGTCCCCATCATGAAGCAGTCTGAGGCGTGTGTGTGAGCCATCCACTGCAGTGCAGAGGTCTCACCTGCACTGTAGAATAGTCCGAGCTGAACTGGAGGCAACAGAACTGCACCCCACAGGCGGAACAACACATTACACACACACATATGTGCACACACATATACATTGGAGCCGTTTTGAATTAGCAATCTAACATTCATTCCAAAACACAATACCTATAAGCAATTTACCAGCTCAGCACGGTTTTGAGGATTAAATGGGAATCAGCTGTGCAAGCAGCTAAGTCCCTAATGTAGAGGGAGCTTATACACATGTATAGCTGCTGTTTCTACTTCTGTATCTAACACTAAAGGTGAAGAGTCACAGCATTTATTCAGATTCAAGCTGCTGTTCGGCTCTTGGCCCAGTCAGGCTGTGAAGCAGCCAAACTGAAAGCAGGCCAGTGGGGGTGGGTGGGGGGTTTGAAAAGGGCACAGAAGACGCAAAGGTATACACACACACACACACACACACACACACACACACACACACACACACGTTGGTCTTTCAATAGTTGTGAGGACACTCTATGACATACTGCATTCCCTAACCACCTCAACCATCAAAACTAAATGCCTTACCCTCATCCTAAAGCCAAGTCTGAACCATAGACTGTAAATACAGATGGACGTAGCCTCTGTGACGTCACCCACAGGTTTCTGAAGAGCGGTTTTGAAGCTCAGAGTGAGCTGCTCTGCTGTCACCATCTTGGCAGTGTCTGACTCCGCCTATTACTTCAGGCTAATCCAGAAATGGGCAAAGAGGAGGAGTCTTCGGTGCATGCTGGTTTGTGGCAAAAATATGTTGACCCATCGTCACTCAAAGGCCACGCCCTCAATTATGCAGAACTTTAATAAGGCTTAATAAAATTTAAACAGGTGAGTACAGTTGCCATGAAGTAGGAAATTATCTATAGAAACCAGGCAGTAAACATATTTATTATAAGATAGATATGTAGATAAATACACTTTATCCCCTGGGGCAAATTCATGAAAAGTTGGACAGTTTAACATGGGAGTCTATGGGGCCAGCCTCAAGTGGTCATTAGAGGAACTGCAGCTCTTAGCACTTTCATATTAGCTTCATTTTTCAGCCCTGCAGGTTGCTGTTTGGTCCTAACCCTCAAACAGCCCTTTGAAGTTGTCTATCTTAAACTGTCCTCACAATGATGGTTTCCAAACTAATATTTGCTCACACATCCATTAAAACACATGCACACGCATACACACACAAAACCACACACATAAAAGCCGCAGAACAAATGCTGCTTGAGATAGAGTTGACACAACATAATGCAAATGACTGCAGTTCGGGACTGACACATTTATACACACACACACACACACACACACACACACACACACACACACACACACACACACACACACACACACACACACACACACACTGTACCAGCGGGTGCTTTGGTGCCAGTTCGCTCTCTCTCCCCCTCTCTTTCAATAATGCATGTTAGCTGGTACTGATGCTCCCCTTGCTCCAGCTGAATACTATTAGGGTGCCATCCCACTCATCTAATTATAATACACACAAATGCATACAAATGCATGCCAACCCAAATATGCACACAGAGTAAAACACAACTAGACAGAGTTGTACGCTAGCTGTACCCTTGTTATAGCATTTTGTCGCAGATCAGCCTTAATGAAGCTCCGGCTGTCAGTCACTGTGGCAACTATCACATACACACCAATACGCACACAATAAAATAGATGTATCCACATTCGATTTCATGGCTCTGTTGCTGAATGTGTTTCCTAACAGCCACTGAAGCACATTGAAAGCTTGTTAATACATACGAGTGACAAATACTCCCAGAGGCTGAAAGCACAAACTGCCACAGCATCAACTGGATACTCTGATGAAAGGGTTAAAGAGTTCTTTAAAGATGGAAATGGCTTCTTGACTATCTGGATAAATATCACACACACGCTTCTTCATAAACACACACATCACTGAGATCAGGTGACTGACTCGGCCAGTCGAGGATATTCCACCTCTTCATCCAGAGAGTTTTAAGTTATTTTTTGGGCAGTTTTCACGCCTTTATTTGATAGGTAAAGTGAATGATTTTTGCTGCATTTGGCTGAATCTGAGTACAGATCACTCCCACAGACCTCTGCATTCATCCTGTTGCTTCCGTCAGCAGTGAAATCATCAATAAATGCCGCTTTAATTGGAGCCCTAGGCACCCGAGCCACAACAGAACCAGCACCATGTTTGACAGATGAGGTGGTGGCTTTGGATCATGAGATTTCTTCTTTCTATCATTTCGATACAGATTGATTTTGGGTTTTATTTGTCCATTTGTTCCAGAACTCTAATGGTTTAATTGTATGTTTTCATCAATTACAGCCTGGTCTTTCTGGTTTTGAGTTTTACCAGGGGTCCTGAAGTCATCTCTTGATCCCTTGATCCCCCAGGAACCATGTATGCATCCTTGAGAGCATCCTGCAC